GACACTGATAAGATTTGTACTCTTTCAGAAAAGTATTATTGTGCAGACTTTAGTGAACAAGAAATGTTTCATTTGATGTGCCAACTTCAACAATTAAGCTCGATGTTGTTTGCCATGAGCAGTTTCAGCAAATGCCCAGTATCTACGAACTGTGTTGAGGACTAACTGAAATGAAAAAGGTGTAGTGCTATAATTTGATTGATAATTTAATCCATCTAATTTCAACTTTTTCTGGTCTCTACGGCAACAATTGAACATGCATTTTCTGCGGCTAAATTTTATTTTTAGTACACTATATTGGTCATTTTCTGAAATTAGTCCATCATTTTCTGCGGCTCAAGAAACATGTTTCTCGCTCAAGAAAACAAGTTTAACAAGTTTCTTGAGCCAAAAACAAGTTTCTTGAACAAAACGGGTTTCTTGCTCAAGAAAATCGGTCAAGATGCTCAAGAAACCCGTTTCGCTCAAGAAATCTGTTTCTTGAGCACGAAACATGTTTCTTGCTCAAGAAACATGTTTCTTGCTCAAGAAAGAAACATGTTTCTTGATCAAAACTCGTTCCTCTAGCTTCAAGAAACCTGTTTTTTACCAGAAAAAATTGCTTGTTGCTCAGGAAACATGTTTCTCGCTCAAGAAACATGTTTCTTAAGCGAAACAGGTTTCTTGAGCGAAACGGGTTTCTTACTCAAGAAACCTATTTCTTGAACAAGAAACTCGTTTTTTGTCTTGCTCAAGAAACTCGTTTCTTGCTCGTTTCTTATTCAAGAAACCTGTTTCTTGCTCAAGAAAAGGGATTCAGTTGCTCAAGAAACTGTTTCTTGCTTAAGGACCCATGAACAAGACAAAGAGGCATCTAACTCGGGGATAGGTGACATTGGGATTGGACCATGTGTTACGAATCCAAACGTAGAGAGAGAAGACAACACGCAAAAAACCTTAATAAAAACCTAACAAAAAGAACTATAAAATTGCACGCACGCCTCAGTTTATCCGCTATAAGGGACATAAAACTTCATTCCAAAATTCATTCCACCAAGGAACAGATGTAAAATATTCCCCATTCTTTCTCAAAAACATCAAGTACCAAATTAATCCAACACTGAAAATCGAGCGATTCAATTCATAATCAAGCAAGCAAACTCATAAAAAGAATGAATCTCATAATATTCAAGCTCCACAACATAAGTTAAACTCCAAACAATAAATCAAACAGACCAATCAACCAACTCGAAAAAAACACAATTTATATCGAAAAACCATCATTTCCTAAAAAAAATTCACTAGGCACAAAATTTTGAGCCCCCATTTGGCCCTGATGGTAGGAGGATGGGAAAAACTCATTGGCCATGGGGTTCAACTTGAGCTTCTGCAGCATATCAACAATTCCTTTCATTTGCATACCGGATTTCGGGTTCGAATCAGAACACTTAAGACCATTATCAGTCACATTATTTTCCCTCGACTCGACAGAATCTAAATTATCAATTTTCTCATCAGTAATGGTCTTAGCAACAACTGGGCTCTCAATAGAAACCTCAGCACCAGCAGCCATTGGATCAAACAAAAAGCACCCACAAACACGGGTTCAGATTGAATTACAGTAAAAATAAAAATTAAGAGCAAAGAGTACCGAGAATGAGAGCTGAGAGAAAGAGTACCGATTAATCAAGAGAAAAGCTTCAAAATATGGAACTTTGAATTGAATTGAGCCTGAGATTACAAACCCTAAACTAAATCAGACCTAACCAGTAAAAACAGAGAGAGAGAGAGTATCGTGAACCCTACCTGACGGGGCTGAGAGAAAGTACCGAGAATGAGAGCCGAGAGAAAGAGTACCGAGAATGAGAGATTCGCCGTGAAATTCGCCGAGAATGAGAGATTCACCGTGAAATTCAACGAGAATGAGAGCCCTTTTTTGGTCGACGGGGCCGAGAACGAGAGATTGGCCGAGAATGAAAATTGAGGGCGGGGAAATGAAGATGAATAAAGGGGGAAAATGGTGAAAAAAATAAAAATATGAAAAAGTTGATAAAATGGTGTCTAAGGGCAATTATGTCTTCTCACACGTCTTAATGGTTATATTTCATCTTTTTCAAAAAGATGGCTAGATTTCATCTTTTGTTTTGTTAAAGTGCTATAAAGCACCATTACCACTTCTTGAAGGTAAGTAGCAAACAACTATTTAAGACAGGCGCGTGTGTGCACCCGATCCGCTGTGCGAGTGCGTAGTCAGATTACTATCAGCTGATGGTATCTTTCAATGAAACAAAATAAAACGAAATCTCCATGTCAGAATCTGCTGGTAGAGTTATCTAACAAACTAGTGTTATATAAGTAATATAGAAACGGGAAAGATGTTACGGTTCTATTACGAAACTATTTTTTGGGTTTGTAACCATTAAATCAGCTATTTTTTTCGTTTACATGATGGTCTAATGTTTACGAACCCAACGAAATGATTTTATAACGAGACTTTAGCATTTCTCTAAAAGCAGTTAACCAAAAGATACTTTCTTTGTTTTTTACATAGAAAAAAAACACAAACAGATACTTTCTTTGTTTTTTACATAGAAAAAAAACACAAACAGATACTTTCTTTGTATTTATAAACATACATTATTTATTTAAAAAGAGAAAAGAAAAAAAAAAACTCATCGAAATTATAGAGTTGCATAATTTTAGGTCTTCCCAACAGCACACACGTTTGCATTGACAATTAAACCACATAACTCATATATTACCAAACCCTTCCACAGGGTCCCATATGGAATCTAAACCAGTGTCCCCAACAAAACCTACGCTACACGGCGGGGTAGCACCGCAGGTGAGGGCCTCCGGCGGCGGCGGGGCCGTAGGAGACCCAAACGCTGCCAGGAGAGATTCCAAGTAATCGTCCGGTTTGGGAGTACCAGAAAGTGCCGGTTCACATGCACTTGCTAATAAGAAAAGCAACGAAAATCGAGATGACAGTGTAGTAAAGTTTTTCTTTCATTGATGAAGAAGATAATATTCTGTTGTATTTCTATCAATCTTATCATGAGATCTGTGATGTACATATTATATGAATGGCTGAGAATCCTTAGCTAGAGGATGACTAAAGGATAAGGTTAACACATGTTATCTTTTCATAGGTTAACAACTAAAGGTAGTTGAGGTTTCTATTTTCTTTCTTTTGACATTGCATGCTGCCAAAATCGCAGCCTTCACGTGCTTTATTCTTCACATGGCCATGCCACCTCAGTTTCCTTTTCTCTCTTGACTCATTGTCCACATCAGAGTCCATGTCGACGTGTGCATGCTTCTCAATATGCCCCCTCAATTCTTTGCATGAGTGAGGAAACAACTTTAACTTGTTTCTGAAGTATGTGAAGAATTGACCTGTTAAAGCTTTAGTGAAAATATCAGCTACTTGCTCTGTGGCAGGTATATGTTGCACTGAGACCACCTTCTTCTCTATCTTTTCTCTTATGAAATGCAGATCTAACTCCAAATGTTTAGTCCTTGCATGATTCACTGGATTTGCAGCAAGGCAAACAGCTCCTCGATTATCAACCCAAATGGTACTTGGCTTGAGAAATTTTACTTTCAATTCAGACAAAAGAGACTGTATCCAAATTATCTCACAAGCAATCTGTGCCAAACTTCTGTACTCTGCTTCAGTGGATGATCTAGAAACTAAAGCCTGTTTCTTAGAACTCCATGATATCAAATTGTTTCCAAGGTAAACACACATGCCTGAAGTTGACCTCCTGTCATCAGGATCTGATCCCCAATCAGAATCACAGAAACCAGTAAGATTGAAGAGAGTGCATTTTTCTATTTTCAGACCAAAGTTCTTGGTTCCTGCTAGGTATCTGAGAATTCTTTTAACTGCTTTCCAGTGGGTGTCAAGAGGTTCTTGCATGAACTGACATACCTTATTGACAGAGAAAGATATATCTGGTCTTGTTAAGGTTACATATTGTAATGCACCCACAATCTGCCTGTAATGATGTCCATCTGCCATAGGTTGTCCAGTGAATTTTGATAGAGGTGGAGATGAAATCATGGGAGAGTTTAATCCTTTTGCCCCCTTCATCCCAGCTCTATCTAAAAGACTATCAATGTACTGAGACTGATCCAGTATAAGGGAGCCATTTGAATGAGTGACATTGATATCCAAGAAGAAGTTTAAAGGACCAAGGTCTTTGAGAGAGAAGTGAGCTGCTAAGGAATTAATAAGAAGTGACAATTCAGAGGAGTTGTTGCCAGTAAGGATGATGTCATCAACATATACCAAAAGAAAGATAGAACTTTGAGCATTGTGTCTGAAGTATAGAGAAGTGTCAGCTTGAGAAATGGAGAAGCCAAGAGACTGTAATACTGAGCTAAATTTGGATGTCCAAGCTCTAGAGGCTTGCTTCAATCCATAGAGAGATTTGGACAGTTTACAAACTAGATGTTCTTGACCATGAACTTCAAAACCAGGGGGTTGATGCATGTATATATCCTCAGTGAGAGTGCCATTTAAAAAGGCATTATCAACATCAATTTGTTTTAGTTCCCAGCCAAGAGTTATGGCAATGGAAAGAATGATTCTAATAGTTGTTGGTTTAACAACTGAACTGAAAGTTTCTTTATAATCTAAACCAGTATCTTGGGTATAACCTTTGGCCACTAACCTGGCCTTGTACCTAGCAATGGAGCCATCAGGATTAGTTTTGACCTTAAACACCCATTTGTTGCCAATGATCTTCCTGTCATGTGGTGAAGGAACTAATGTCCAAGTGTTGTTGTTGATGAGGGCATTGTATTCAGTCTTAATTGCCTCAAACCAGTGAGGAGTTGATAATGCCTCAGAAAGTGAAGAGGTTCCTTTGGAGAACAAATAGAGGTGGTGAAAATCTTTGGCTTGAATATACCAGCCTTGGATCTGGTGGTCATATGATGATGAGAACCTGTGGCTACAGAATCAGTGGCATTAGTAACATCAGTTGGAGGTATAACATTATGCTCAATAGGTAAGTCAATGATGATTTGTCCAATAGGGATAGATGAAGAAAGACTAGAGTGTGAATGAGGTGAAGATGTATTCTGAGGAGAAAGGTGTGGTTGAGGTGAGTGATGTGATGGTGAGTATGAGCAGGAAGAAGAATGGACATCTTGATAGCTTTCCTGAGGTTGGAAATTTGTGAACAATTTGTTACTGTCAGAGATTATAGGAGATTGAAAAATTATAGGTGAAGGAGAGGGAGGGCAAGATGGTTCTGAAATTTGTGGTGTATTAGTAGGTTGAGCAAAAGGGAAGGTAGATTCATCAAACAAAACATGTCTGGTTAGGATGATTTTCCCAGATGGAAGGAGGACTTTATACCCTTTGTGGTTTGGACTATAACCAAGAAAAGTGGAAGCAAGACTCCTTGGCTGCAGTTTGTTTTGGTTATAAGGTTTTAGGAGAGGGAAGCAAAGGCAACCAAAGCTTTTGAAGAAGTGATAATCAGGTTTTGTACCTGTTAAAACTTCTAAGAGGGTTTTAAGGTGAAGTATCTTTTGAGGAGTTCTGTTAATGAGGAATACTGCACTTGCAAAAGCCTCATCCCAATATTTGGTTGGTGTGTGAGATTGAAACAACAAAGAGAGGCCAACTTGAACAATGTGTCTGTGCTTTCTTTCTGCCAACCCATTTTGCTCTGGGGTATAAGGACAATAGATCTTTGATTTAATACCATTCTCTAACAGAAAAGATTGTAGAGCCATAAACTCACCACCACCATCACACTGTAAGGTTTTAACTGTGGTTCCAAACTGATTTTTAATGAGAGCACAAAAATGAATAAAAGCAGATT